AAAAGGAACATTGATTGATTAAAAAACCCGCCACTATCGCTGTCGTGCGCGATTCGACTCACGTAGAGTCGACATTTCTTGTGACCGGGCAATTCAAATTTCCCCTTACTAGTGTAACATAAAAACGTTTATATCTTGGTTAGGAGTTGATTTCAGTGATTTTCAATGCAAGAATCGTGTTCTACAAGAAATTCTGGTTGAGAAACACATAATTCAGAATGCTTAACTTCGTACCTTGCCTAGTGGTCCATTGGTAATCATTTTTTTTATCCAAAATTCAACATCAGATGCTATTAGTTGGGAGTTCCAAAAAAGTGTTACGTAATTCTTTTTAGGGGGATGGTCCTATGTTACGGGTGCGTTTAAATGGGAGGAAGGGGGGGGGGGTAAACAATCCGATTTTCAGCGTTACACATTATGGTGTGAAGACGGAACAAAATATGTATACCACTCATTGTAGTTCGTCGAAGATTCCAAACAGAAGAAAACTTTGAGCGCATGGGATCTGAAGTAGGTCTCCTCCATCGTGCTCAAAGCCTGAAGTTCATATCGGGAAATTGTTTGAATCTCATCTCGCTCCCTCGTCTACAATGATCAGATCGGGTCAACTAATCCGGGACTCATCGAGAAAAGTTTCCGGGAAATAGATGCCAAGGCCATGTCGCAGCCGAGTTATGAAATTGAGGTTTTAGGTGCTATGAAAGTCTAAAACTCCGTGCAGTGTACATCAACACATTTTCTTCTAGTATATGATACGATGTCCAATTCTTCCATGAGACTACCTCGAGCGCTGTACGTCTCTTGCATAATGTGGTGGTAACTCTCTAGGGGCATAGCGATGCTGAAGTCATTACGGATTGGTTTCAACACTTTCCTTCCTCTATAAATTATGCCTTTTTCCACACTGGAAAAAAAACACATTGGATCTAGAGTCCAGACTCTTCAAAACATTGACAAGAAAAAGGACTCTTGATTCAATCAGATTTAAGCTTAAATCAAAAGGAAATCCGCTCAAATTAAGAGGCTTGGTTCTTGATTTAAGCTTAGATCTGATTGAATCAAGAGTATTTTTTCTTGTCGATGTTTTTAAGAGTCTGGACTCTGAATCCTATGTGTTTTTTTTTCCAGTGCAGAGAGAAGGGAGGTGGGAATTGGGAACAGGGCTTTTCAAGTGATCGTAGTGACAAATCATTTTAATTCTTCACAAGGATCCATTTTAAATATTATACTGCTATATTCTAGAGATTCTAAATAAATTGTCAATTGAATAATAATAGCAGTAAGTTATAGGGATTTCATTAAGCCAGTGGCGATTTTGGAAGTTGGCTACTCTGTTTTCCCTCCATTTAAAGTCATTAAAAACATCGATTTTAGGTAACTGCCTCACCAAGGATCAATTGCTTTACATAGATTTAAATCATGGTGTCTAGCTTTCTTGGCAAAGCTCATTCCCTGATTTTGCCCTGATTCTCCTTGATTTTCAGGAGCTCATTCCCTGATGAGAAACCGAGGTTTTCTCCCACTTCCCCGGAATTTTCTTGGGGAAAATAATATAATTTTCCAGAGTTTCAGATATGAATATCGATTTTAATTACTCTTACAGCCATTTCTTTGGCGCATGTCAGATTAGACCGCCAAATTTGAAAACGAAATGATCCTTTGGTGGATGGAGAAGAGATTACCGGTTTCTGGAACGGATTCCCTGATTTTTCCCTGATTTTCCGGGTAAATTTTCATTCCCTGATGAATCCCCGTTTTCCCCGGTTTTCAAAAAACTAGACACCATGATTTGAATGAAGGGAAAACAGAGTCGCAGACTTTCAAAAAACGTCACTGCTTTAAGCCTCCCTTAATCACACTGTAAACCATATGAAACTTCCTGAAGAAAGGCGCTATTCGAGGAGCGCCTATAATACGGCCTTAAGAGTAGCTCGCAGTTTTTCGGAGTATATTTTCTATACTTTCCTAATTTTAATATTGACAAATTAGGAGGCGGCCGACTGGCGAGGGGCGCGGGGCGCGACCGACGCATGTGGCATGTCTACATCACAATCCAATTAAACGCGTTCGAGGCTTCGTGATGCATCCCGCACTTGGCGGAGGTCCTTTATTACTCCGTCCGCAATTTGTGAGGGAAATAATTTCCCCGCCACCCCGCGCCCTCCCCCCTCGTCGCTCGTCTCAAGTTATCTTGTGCTCGAGTTAAGTGTGTGCGTTCCATTGTGTGTGGAGGAGCGTGAGAAAAGAATACTCTCAAATTATTTCGGAGGGGCCGAGGGGGTGGATTTGGGAGCAAACCCTCTTTATTTCAACCGCTCAACCACCCCCGAGACGAGAGTCTTTCAATTGTTATGAAACACACTTCAGCTCCGCCTAAATGGAGAGGACTGCCTCTTCAGGTGTTGAATTTGTACTCGTCCTACGAGGGGATTTTCAAGTGTAATTCAGGGAGGGGGGGCTCGTGAGTGGGGGCAGGGAGGGGGTGTATATGACATAAAATCAGATCGCCACTGCACTGCCGCGGTAGGGAAGAACGCCGTATGAGCTTTTGGACGTTGCCAATTTGCTCCCGATGCAAAGCGATTTTTTTTAGAAATCAGGGCTGCCACCAAATCTAAAAAATGAAATTCCCTGCTGTTTCCCTGAATTCCCACGAACGTTTTGGTGAAATTCCCTGACAATTGAAGATATGCCAGATGGTGAAAAAAACAGGGTGTCTACTACAAGAAGACCAATAATCAGCACTTCTTGGGTACTTTTTCAGTACAATCCCAAGAAATTCAGTACTTTTTCAGTACCTTCATTTGACGAAAATCGGAAAATTTCAAAAATTTGAATTTCTCGCTTAAATTGCGACAAAAATGACAAACATTCCGTACCTTCTTGCGAAATTGCCGCACTTTATCAGTACTTCCGGACCGCCCTTAGAAAATCAGTACTATTTCCGGACTTGTAGACACCCTTAAACATGATTAGAGATAGATTTTGGGCAAAATTTATTGTTCGAAACGTCATATTCATTCTAGAAAGCAAATAGAGGTGGCTTAAAAAATGTTCCTGTGTTTTCGCCATTTTCCCTGACATTTCCAGGTTTTCCCTGACTTTTTAAAATTCCTTGACAATTTCCGGTTTTCCCCGACGATGGCAACCCTGAGAAATGTATAAATATTTTTCTTCTGATTTTTCTGCGTATTTCTTTCTCAATTTAATCTGAAGTATTTGGAAAGGTTCGGCGAGGAATATTCATAATTTACGTCAATAATTAATATATTTTTGAGAGAAGTTTGGCAACATTGGCATGATCCTACGTCGCTTTTCCTGAGGACGGCACTGCACTGCAGTCGTCGTGACAAACTTGCTATTTATTGATGCGGTTGTTATGCATACTCCAATTCCTTGATTGCGGGTTCTCGAGTTGAGAGTCGCGATAAACCTGTCCGATCGAGTACAGGTTATTTTATTCGCAAGACGCGGTGCAAAAAACGTTTACTCAGTATTGGCGACAAAATATTTGTCAGAAAAAGCGATTGATTCTGATGAGTATTTTTAGATTTACGAGAATTTACGATACTATAATTAATTCACGTGCCTAATTTAAGTTTTTTAAAATCGTCGGCAACTTGAGAACAGACGACAGACAGGAGTGCACTGGAAAGAAAAAACACATTGGATCTAGAGTCCAGACTCTTGAAAACATTGACAAGAAAAAATACTCTTGTTTCAATCAGATTTAAGCTTAAATCCAAAGGAAATCCACTCAAATTAAGAGGCTTGGTTCTTGATTTAAGCAAAAATCCGATTGAATCATGAGTATTTTTTCTTGTCGATGTTTTTAAGAGTCTGGACTCTAGATCCAATGTGTTTTTTTTTCCAGTGTGACAGGCTCCGTGGCGGTGCCTGATTTCAATAGCCAAAGTGCAAAACCACATCTGCAGATGTGCAGAAAATATGGTTAAGCCCCAAAAATGGAGAGGCAGGGAACATTCTGAGTGCCCAAAAGTCGAAAATCAAAGGAAAACAGAATAAAATATCATCTTTTTTAGATAAGTTGGAAATTTTGCGGAAAACTCATGAGAAAAATGTGGAAAGCCGGCTGGTGGGCGAGTGACAATGTGGGAGGTGGAAAATTCGGCACCCCTGCGTATCTCCATTCCAGTGTTGCAAATTTTCGGATTCTATTTCATTTTCCGAGGAAAGAAAAGCGAACTCAGTAGCTTGAAATTATACTGGATGTTCTGCTAACACAGACAACTCGAAAAATTTTCAAAGAATTACGCTACCTACTTTTCAAAAGAAAAAAATCAAGTACGACAGGAAGTCTGCAACGTCACAAACGAAAATGCGTGGTTTCATACTTTGGCCATCGATTTGTTTTCCTTCCTTATCTAATAAATTTTTATTAAATGTTAAGACCGATACTGACGAGGTCGAGCGATTGATGTCCTACAGACTCGGCTTTTCACTAATTTCCGTTTCCAGTTCCGAAGCCTGCAATTTTGCCGATAACATTAAAATAGCTTTTATTATTTAAAGTAGGTAGCGTATGAGACCTTGCATGGCTACTTAAACAACATAATGTTATACAGGGTTATTCAAAAATCACGCACCACGGGCCATAACTTCAATTCTGATTATGATATCGATTTGCGGTTTAAGACGTTTTCCCTCATATCAAGGGGGAAACTTGTTTAGGTACTTTCCAGTTTTTGATCTCCTCGGCCGGCGAAGGGCGGGGGGGGGGGAACTCAAACATTTCAAATGCCCATCCCCCTCATGGCCAGTGGTGCGTAACTTTTGAATAACCCTGTATGCTTGGTTCCAAGGTGTCTCTCCCGTTTTCGTACGGTGTTTCATCTTATTCTACTGAACTGTCCTGTTGACGGTATCAAGTCTTCTCGATCAGTATCTCAACAAACTTGAAATTAAAAGGTCAACCAGTTAACTCCAGTAAACTAATTCTTAAAAACGAAACAAAATAGAGGATATGAGAATGTCCTTACCTTAGCAGAAATGACACTCCTCATCAAACGGCAGATGATATCAGGTTCTGCAACAATAAAAAAATTATACATTAGTAATTAGAAGTAAGAAAGCCAATGTTAAAAAATTGCCTCAGTTTAATTATATTGTTTTCCGGTTTACGTAGAAAACCTGTGGCCTGCAACACTAATCAACGAACACAAATTGGTGATCATTCCATCAAAGAAAAGGTTACGTGTGGAATCAATATTACGTGTTGGATATTCTCTCTGTAAAGGGGAAAAACGCAGTATAATCTTTCCAATTGGACTTAAAACTTGTTCGTAGTTTATTTTCTTGTTGGACTTAATTAGTGTTGCGCCAAACAGCTTTACGGCATGAGGGAAATAATGCTCTCTACATGAGATTTGTCCCCTCATAGTGAGAATATTCTGCGTAAGACATCATGACGTCACCTAGGCTCTAATCGTATGACCAGTTGGTGTGATGCGTTATGCGTATGCGTATGCGTTTTGCCGGCTTGTTCTTTGATAAGTCAAAACCTCTTTTCCATTCTGCCATTTAACAGATCTGTAAAAAACGTTGATTTGCTTGACATTATTGTATCGAAAAAATTTGCCTGATCTCTGTGGAAAATTGGTAGTCCTTGATGAATTTGGACCTCATTCAAGAGCAACAAATAAAAGAGGGTGACCGGTAAGATCTTTCTTCACCTAAAACGTCATAATTTCCCATGGGGGCGGCCAGCGGCAGCGGCGCCTCCTGATCAATACGCAATCTACCAACTGATAAATATAGCTTCGAATCTGTAAAGTCTGAAACTTATTTTTGGCTTGATTCAGCTGATCTTGGTCAAATAATCTCCTGGGTCTATAAAATATTATGAGAATATTACTTTCAAATAATTACAAACGAATCGGATCGATATAGATCTTACGAACAAATTTTGAAAAGAAACGAAATTTTAGATTTCCTGGAGGGGAACTTCAAAATTTCAACACGAAATAAGTATTACAGAACCTGGGTAGAGTACTTCAAAAATTTGAATACAATGGACTCATCTACATATTACAACCCGCCAATATCAGCAAAAATCAGGAAATTCAGCCGAATAGATTTCTAGCGCGAACATAAGTGGTTTCAGAGGTCAGAACGTTTACGAATATGATGTATGAATCGAGGCGTTTCAGCGGCAGCGGTAGGCGTCGACTCCAAAGTCATTATTTTGACCTCTTTTCATTCGAGGTGAGACGGTAATCTCCAATCAATAATCACTTAAGAGCACTTCCATAGAGTTTTCACCCAGCCCACTGGCTGACGAGTGATGCTTGACCAACAGACTCTTGTTCATCATTTAATTGACCTGCGGCTATTTTCAGCGGTTGCTGAACCACCTCTATCCAATATTAATACCTTCTTCGTTCGGGTGGTGGCGTCTGGAAAGCTTCCGGAGGCTACTTTTCGCATATTACACGTGCTGCTTACAATTACCGCGCGTCGAATAGTTTCGCCGAATTAGGCGAAGATCATCAAAGACAAGGATGAAAAACAGGATGTCTACTGATCCGCTTTCATTCAAATTCCTTGCTTTTTAAGTGCCTTTTCCTTGCTTTTCCGAAAGTTCTTTTTTTGGCGACTCTCGGAAATACTTGCTTTTTCCTTGCCTTCTCGTTACCTCACACGCATTTTTAACTATACAGGGTGTCCCAGGATTAAGTATGAATATTGAAGGAGTCGATTCTTTGGGTCAAAAGAAGACGTTTTTGTAGTATAACTTTTCTTCGAAACACGCTTTCTGTGGGGGCCCCATTATCCCCCAATTATCAGCTCCTATTGTTCCCTATTATCTCGGAAACGATGAGTTATAGCGAAAAAACACAGGGGACATTTGCTCAATATTTTTCAAAGCTATATCTTGTGGTGTCGTCAAAATCAATTTTGGCCACTTTTAGGTTCGGTACCCCTCTATAAACCCCCCTCAAAATAAGATTAACCTTTTTTGAAGGTCAAAAATGATAAGGGCGCTAAAAATAACTCCCACTTACCAATTTTCATTAATATTGGTTGATAAACATTGCCGCAGTGTCAAAAAGATGACTTTTCTCCTCCAATTTTGGGGAGTCGTGGCGCCCAGAGAAAGCGTTTTTGGAAAAAAATTTATCCCACAAAAACGTCTTTTTTTGACCCAAAGAATCGACTCCTTCAATATTCGTACTTAATCCTGGGACACCCTGTATTTAGATTGGGAACGTGACGAAGACCGAGGGAAACACGAGAAATCGAACCAGGATGTTGATAAATGGATTATGTTAGGAAATCGCACACCTCCGCAAAGCTACTTTCTTGAGTGTGCTACAAAAATCTCAAATTTCCGTACCTTTTCACCAAAAATCCGTACCTTTCCCGTACTTCCGTACCGACCTCCCGAGAACCATGCTTTTTCGGTTTATTCGTACTTGCTCCGTAAAGTAGACACTCTGAAAAAGGAGTGGTACATTGGGAAAAACGAGTGGTGAAACAGCGTAAAACTTTAATTTCATAAAATTTGAGATCATTCGAAATCTATGTAGCCCCGGTCCCCTCCTTCGATGATCGTGTAAACATTGTATTTATTCGTAATTAGGATTCAATGCTCGTTTGCGACGAAAGGCTCTCCTCTTGTCAGACTAAACCTGTCCATTACGCCGCACCACATTAATGACTTCATCATAGATTGGAATAACCTGGTTTATGCAAGCGATTAAACTACCCTCGATTAGCGCTGCATTAATGCCAAATCCTTGGGAATTTCCGAATTCACCATGTCAAAATTTGTCGATGGCGAACCTCCTGCGCCTGACTTGGCTATTCCGATAGCCGACAGAGAACTGCCTTGCCAGAGGGGAGGGTTGCTACGTAATATGGAGCGGCCGGCCTAAATGGAACATTATTGGTGGTCTTAGAATTAGCACAGCCACCAATTCGAATCTTATGAGCGTGGCGTTATAACATCAACTCATCATGCGGTTCAACAGGGAACGTGTCAATCATAATTTCAATTACGGGCCTGTGCCTGTTGCAAACAGCTGCAGCAAAAAGAAGAGTTGCGTCTTGGGGGAAAAGGCTCAAAAATCACGATGAGCGTATTAGAAAAGTCAAAAATTCACACCCAACTTCACACTCTACGCAAGAAATATAGGTTTTTGTAAGCTGCCCCCCTCCACTGATACACACAGATAAATATTTCGCAATACAGGAAGAGTCGATTCATTTAAACCGTGCACACCAGGACGCTACAGTCGCTATACACGCGCAATCTTCAACATGGCTGAAGCTTCCGCGCGCAAATCGTAAGGGAGCACCATGGTTTTTATCAACGCAACGAAAATATACAGGGTGATCCAAAAGTCCCTTCCACCCCCTCTAACTTTTTACCTAATTACTCCTACAAAATGTTTACGGTTCCGTAGTATCGTTTTTGAAGCGGGAAGCTTAAGGAAATGCATAGCTCTTAGGCAGATTGAGAGAATAAGTTCGTATTTGAGACTTTCTCGATGCCCTCATGCTTTTGAGCCGTTTTCTACACAAAACACTGGGGGAAAAAAACACATTGGATCTAGAGTCCAGACTCTTGAAAACATTGACAAGAAAAAGGACTCTTGATTCAATCAGATTTTAGCTTAAATCAAAAGGAAACCAGCTCAAATTAAGAGGCTTGGTTCTTGATTTAAGCTTAAATCTGATTGAATCAAGAGTATTTTTTCTTGTCGATGTTTTTAAGAGTCTGGACTCTAGATCCAATGTATTTTTTTCCGGTGAATCTCTTCTTTTTGCTCTCGTTGAAGTTTCCAACATTTGAACTGTCCTTAAATGAAATACTCTGAACTAATTTTCAAATGAAAAAAGTTTATGTGAAGGAAATTTCGGCAGAGTCGGGCTCCAAATACGTTTAACATAGTTTCAGCATGTTTCGAGGTTGTGGAGTACGCGCGGGTACACCTGGAGGATTATAGCGGTTAAAGCCGAAGCGTGGATAAGCGCTCTTCGTCGCTAATACGTGAGGATATCGGGCTATTTTTGAATCACTAATAACATTGCTCGTATGCGAGCAATTCGAGCTATTTTTGAAAACTTAAAAAGCTGCAGCATGCAACCTCCCGTTTGGGATCGATTATACGACTACAGAATACAGATCCCGATCTGAGATGCACACTAAATATCTTGCAATTTATCGACTTAAAATTAATAGGATAAATTATTAAATTATTAAGTGGCTACGTCGTCTGATGGCTTTGCAGTCCAACTCCTCGAAGCGCAACGCACCTCAGTCATTTTCTTGGATCCCGAGTGCAGACTCATAAAAAATTTGATGATTAAAAAAACTCTTGATCGGATTTTTGCTTGATTTAAGAGCCAAGCCTCTTAATTTAAGCAGATTTCCTTTACACTCAATAAAATGCAATGTATACGATAGGTGATAATGAATTTCTCGTTATTCGACCCCCCCTCCCCCTCCGTAACTTTCTTGTGAAGTAAGTCCCCTATTCTTTAATGCGGGAAAACAAAATGGCGCAACGCTCTCTTTGACCCCCTCGAACAAAACTTTCTAAACGGCACACTAACGACAACACTAATGCTTCCGGTAAGTTTCGTTATATCTATTTTCACCTCTACTCATGTTAAAGGAGATTTTAAATTCTCAATTTTTCGTTACTGGCAAAACTTCCCGCCCAAAATCGTACAGGAAATGTTCACATTTTTTTTTGTGCACTCACAGAACCTGACTTCGCAGTGCATTAAAAAATTATTCAGAGACTGCCGGAACGAAACTTGTAAAGCAGTACTTGTACTGCTTTAAACTAATCATGACATGATAGAACTATCATTATAACATTAAAATTAAATAAATATAGTGCCGACTGGTATTTACGTCGCGACGCGGTCTTTTTTTCACGGACAATATTCTGAATAGAAACTCACTTCTTAAGTCGGCGGTTTGACGGACAACTGACACACTGACCCAGTAAAGTGCAAAGCTAACATACAAAGTACAATTAAGGGTGGGCAATGAGCGGGCGACGTGGATAATTAAATAACGAGCTTACATTCAATTCAACAGTTTGCTCAGAGTATACCGCATTACCGCATGCCACCAAGTTCCGGCGGAATATGAATGCTTGTGCTCGGAGGAAGTATTCCATCAACACTTATTTGCCATCAAATGAAAGTTGGGGTTCGTTAATTTTTGAACTGTTGATGTCAAGCTGTACTCGAGTTAATTTGGGAAACATCTTCCACGAATCAAAATCTAATGCATTTTATCATTTTTAGGGAAAATGACTTGCACTTCTCCTTTGTGTGATGAACTCTTCAAAAGTGCACGAGCATTTTAGATGATGATTTATGAAATATTGATGACCGCAAAAACTTTCATGTTCAGTAATACATGGCATTACTCGAAGATACATAATCACTCATTTTAAAAATTGCCATGATTAGCACTGATTTTTGCATTGATTATTGCATGAATGCATTGCTTGTTTTCTCTTCTTTTTTTACCCCTTCCTGTCTCTTTCTGTTTCCCTTCCAACTATCTGCAAGTTAGTGAAACCTATGATTTCTAAATTTTTGCAATGGATTTTCTCGGACTTATCCATTCATTTCTTCGTATTTTCATTTTTGGTCAACAATCAAACTTTGTTATGTACTTGGAGGTTCATAATGTTTGTGATAAACGCTACTGATGAGCAACTTGGCATTATTTTCGGTAAATCGTGCACGATTTTTCGTTACGCGACCGCGACGTGCGAAACAAACGTTTCTTGTGCTTTTGGATCACTTGGATTACCCGATAAAAGTTGTATAACTTTATCCGGAGAATAATAAATCGAATTTGGTGTAAAAGCAGCACCCGATGTGAATCGAGCTTCCCCGCAGGATTTGAACTTATCTCGAAAGTTTTGACCCACCGAATTCCTTAAATTCCCACGCAAAACTTGCTAATAAACGAGAAAAAAATATCGTCCTCAATAAAGGTCCCTCGAGAGTTCGATCATTACCTGATAAAAGTTGCGACACCTTTTCTGCAGAATAACAAAACGATCGATGTAAAAGCATCCAATAGGAATCAAGCTTAACCGCACGATTCGAACTATCTCGAAAACCACCGGAATTTATCGAAAGTTCAAAGCTGCGTTCGAACATAAAGTTTAAACGCGCGTTCGAGGGAAGGCGTACACGTCCCGTCGAGATTCTCGTGGCGTGCCGAGCGTGTTGCGGATGCGTTCAGTGAAGGCGTCGAGCAGCGAGCATGGCCGGCGCGGGACTGGCGGGCGGCCACCAGGCCACCATGCCGCGCGTTTTCCCACGGCTTCATGCGTGGACGACGCCGCCGCCGCCGCCGCCGCCCGCCCGCCCGCGCCGCTGAAACGGCCGAAACGCTGAAACTGTAGCCCGCCTAACGCACCGCATTGACAGGCTTCGATGATGCCATTCAGCTCTGATTTTCTCTCTCGAAACAACTTCGGCACTACCCCCAGGCGAAGTTAGGCGAAAACCTTGTCAGGGGAGGGGAGGGGGGTGGAGCAAACCTGCGGGTTGATTATTGAAACTGATAGAAAAAGCGATAGACAAAGAAGACATAGGGAGTATCTAGCAATCCTATTGGTTGAGATGGGTGGATTTTATAGACTTAGGGAGAAAATGATGAACTAACTAAAGGGTTTCTCATGGGTTGCCGATAGTTAGTCTATTGCCTACCTCCTTTGTCCACTGCAATCACCCGATTCCACCAATAGGATCCTTCCATATCCCTTCTGCCTTCTTTGTCTATAGCTTTATCTATCAAGTTCAATAATCGCCCCGCTGGGTGGCTCACAGGAGGGGTGGGGTGGGGAAGAGGAGAGGGATCAAGCAAAATGACCAGCCAATTAACTTATCAGCGGTGAAAATCCCAATGTACGTATCTCAGTTTACAGCGATGCAGACGTCCTGTCATACTTTGTTTTTTAAATTTGAAACTACTAAACGTCAAATCTTGGAACCTTCAGTAAATTTTCTTTCCTGTAATAGAATATTCTGTCGAAGTTTCAAGCAATCACGTCGAGTCGTTGTCCTTTAAAGAAGTTAAAATAGGAGCGGAGATTTTGTAACACCGCAAACGAGATATGCGGTTTTGGCGTGTCACCGTTGTTGTAAAAGTTACTTCCGGGGCTCAACGCTCAGATTCGCCAAGTTATGACTTATGGCCGAAGAGTTGATTATTATTATTATTTGGCTACGCAATCCTGACCTATTGGCAAAAACTCGCTCAGCAACGTGCTGTCCCGACATTCATCGATCATCATCATTCTGCAAAATTCATTTCAATTTTTTTTACTAGAATTTTTCCCAGACATTTCCAGATTTTCCCTGACTTTTTAAAATTCCCTAACCAGGCTGTCTAGTATTTTTTAATTTTGAAAGATCCTGATATTTTCCTGATATTTTATAAAAAATTCCTGACTTTTTCATTTTGAAAATTCCTGATATTATCCTGATTTTTCTCGACTCCTGGCACGGTAGGCAAAAAGCAGTAAGACTTTCTCCGCCGAGGAGATTCGCGTAAGAAAAATTCCTGATAAAACGTCCGATTTTTCCGATTTTCCTGACATTTTCATGATTTTTTCCTGATCGGCCAAAATTTCTGATATTTTCCGGTTTTTCCTGATGCTAGACACCCTACTGACGTTTCCCGGTATTCCCTGACTGTGGCAACCCTGTGATCCATAAGTAATTTGGCCGAATTTCCTCATTTTTCCTGACGACATCCAATTTCCTGATATTTTCAGTTTTCTACTGACGATAGACATCCTGCTAACGTGCTCCCTCCTATTCATCCGGAGGTTTGGCAAACGGATGCGTGCTCACAGGCGAACAAATCGTCGGCTCAACTCCTGGCGCCCGCTCGAAAGCGCGACGGGCGACGGCCGCACGCGATTTTAAATCCTTTCATCCGTCCGGTCCGTCGCCGCGCTGACCATCCAATTTCGCTCTTCTTAAATTCCAATTCGGACGCCTTTCCTTTTCGCCCGAGCCTCCCAGGGACACCCCTCCCTCGCTCCTTTATTTCGCGCCCCTCGGTCCGCTCGGCGCGGGATTTTTTTGGGCCTTTCATCAGTTCAAAGGCCTTTCAATCGAGTTAGAGTCGTGTTTATTTGATGTGGCACCCTCTTAGCTTCTGATGGACGATTCGTCGCTTCCACGTAACTCCGTGCTAGGGTTGCGAAATTACCTTTTGCGAATGAATTTTTTTAAGGAATATAACCGAGCAATGATTTTTTAACCTTCTGCTGAATATTCCGTGTAACTCGAGGATAAATCAGTGAATTTTTGGTTAACAACGGGGAACAACTTTAATTTAAAAATGTAAACTTTGCGAATGGAAATTTTGCAACCTTGGAATCTAGTTACGTTCTCTCGTCTGGGAGACGACGAATGACGGCTTGGAGAAAAAAAATGAAAATCTCGGGCACATCGTCCCGCATCCTCGAATCGTCGCTCCCCCGACATAAGGGCGTAACTACACTCTACAATGGACCCTGTCGTCCATAAAACTCAATGCTTTTCCGGGCTCATCTCAATGTGTAGTTACGCCCTTGTGTCAGCCAAGCGAAAAAATGGAGGGACAGATAAGAGTTTCGATTTACTTAGCGGACTGAACCATCATTTCTGATACTCATAATTGGGGCATTGCAGCCGAAGGGATGGAGTCAGGGAATTTCACTTAAAGCCCTTCGGGAGGATTTGTGTGAAACCTACATATAAATCGGAGCCTGGGCAATTCACTTATGGCTTCCTCCAAAATTGGTAAATTTTCCCCTTTGTCTCCTTTAGGAGCGAGACGTCGGCTTAACCAATATCTATCCTTTTTAAATGTGAAGTTATATGGATAAAATAATGGCATTTGTTGGCTCGTTTGACATCTTTCCCTTCCAAACGATCTCGTATAATTCGAAGTTTTTTGTGCGTTTTTTTTATCTATTTTGGAGTTTCTCAGGTATTACATTTATAACCTGCAAGCTGATTTTGACATTGATAGACAAATTAGAAAAATCGAAACTCTCTCAGGGTCTTGTTCATCGTTCCTTGAACAGCTCTTTCCCTTGAAGGCACTATACGGTCTGAACAGGGTTATCTAGAAGTCACCTACCACCCCTGTAACTTTTTTCCTCATTCACACAGTAATTTGAAACTTTGGGAAAGGTTGTAGATTTAAAGTAGCAACTTTTAGGGCCCCTCAAATTTTTGGGGGGTGGGGGGGCAGGCAACTTTCATTCTTTCAAATGGCAACCCTTCTTTTGTGACGTTTCGTTTTCTTGTAACGAAGACTGGCACATAACCAAGTCCACTTCCGGAAATGGATATGTTGCATGTGTGAGGAATTTGCGATTTGACTGTTGATTCTTACGTAAAAGTTTGCGAGAAACACGATGGTGCCGCACTGGTTTTCTCTGGAATCAACTCTCAAGCCCAACAGCTCTCAAGTTGAGGCCAAAATGGAGGAGATATCACACGCTATCCTGAGAGTCCACCTCTACATCAATACAAACTCTCCATGCGAAGATAGAGAGCGAATAAATTGACAGGGCTGCCACTTTATTTTTGGAAATCTGAAAACATGGCATCACTGCTAATGTATTCGCTCCCTATCTTTACATGGAGAGTTCGTCTTGATGTAGAGGTGGACTCTCAGGATAGCGTGGGATATCCCCTCCATTTTGGCCTCAACTTGAAAGCTTTTTTTTGAGCTTGGCTGGGAGATGATTTCAGAGAAAACCAAAGGCACCATCGTGTTTCTCGCGAACTTTCACGTAAGAATCAATAGTCAAATCGCAAATTCCTCACACACACTGAGAAAAAATTCTCGGCGTTTTTATCAAGGTCCGTCGGTACCTTTACCATCTCACTTTTTTTGCCAATTATTGGTAATTTTACCAGAACAGACTGGTAAGCTTACCTAAAAACCGGTATTTTTACTGTTTTTTCAGGTAAGAATACCACTTTTATTGGTAATCGATTCCCGGTAACTTTGCCATATCTCGGTAATTCTACCACAGTCAATAAAAAATATTGGCGTTTTTACCAAGATCCAGTAAAATTACCGAGAAAGTTTTACAGAGATTTCTCGATAAAATTACCAATTCCATAAATGGTGATTTTAACGAGAGAAAAACTGGAATCAAATAGAACCCTGAATTCTTGGTAATTTTACCCTTTTTTTAGTAAATACACCGATATTTTTTTCAGTGCATGCAAAATCTCCATTCGCCTTATGAATACAGCCCCAAGAATCGGCTGAAGGTTGGCGAGAGTGAGAATCTGGCAACACTGTTACGAAGTAAGTTCATTTCCCTTTCATCCAACTTTCCCACTTTCACTCTTCCCCACCGCGGCGTGAGCCCCTCTTCCTCCTCCCCGTCGTCGTCCCGAGCGCGGCCTCGAACGGATGAAACGAACCCGGGTCCGTTTTGGGACATCGGTTTCTAATTAAGGGTTCATATGACGTTTAGTGCTCGAGGACGGCCCTCGGGGGGCGCCGGGTGCCCGGGCGTTGAACTTGATCAAACCGCCACTCCGATCAAATGTCTAATTAGCCAGCATAATTTGTCTTGATACAGAGTGACGCGCCTTAGTGGTAAATTAAATTACGATGCGTGCGCTTTGAACCCTTGCCTTCGTTTCCGCCCCCCCCCCCTCTCTACGCTCAGATTTACTTCGTGAATAACCAGCGACGACGTTCAAAAGAGCATAACACACAAGAGGGTTGATCTAGGGGTCCGAGAACTTCTCGACCGTGCCAGCCCTGGCGAGTCGCGAAAATGGGAATGCCTTGAAAACTGGTTTTCTAATAGAGAAGACTGGTGTGCACTGGCGTAAAATTGAATCAGTGAGTTCGAAAACACACCAACTGAGAAAACAAATTGTTCAGGAAACACCTAAAACTGCGCAGCGGGCGAAGTAGTTAGTTTCAGAAGAACCTTTTTGGTGCCAAAAGACAAGTACTTAGAGACTTTGTAAAGCACCAAGTTGAAATCGACAAACCATGTTTAATGACAGAGAATTACGCGTTTGAAAATTTCCGAGTTGGTGTGTTTTCGTTCTCACCGACCTTGAAATACTGATTTTTCATAGTCTGCCCTGAAAAATTTATATTTTTCGACCTGAATAACGCTTGAATATTTATATAACTTGTTGGTACAAGGTATACTGAACCGAAAAAAGAAAACCGCAAAATCGGATGGTCACCCGTTTCCCTTGAAATGGCCAAAAATTG